TGTTGTCGTTTTACATCCTACCATACGTTGCCCTTTTCCTTCCTTGTGTGCGGGCTCTTCCATTACCTTTCAATGGATCATTCAGGTTTCTCAATCTCTTATTCACTGAGGTCCCGTATCTCATGACAGCCAACTTATTGTTTCGCATTTTCAACCTTGTACAGTTCCAATCATGGATATATGAACAATTTTCTGCGTTACTGTTACAATTGCATTATAATGTTTGTACCGTTGTACATATCCGATCATGCCTCCATGAGCGTGCCTCACATAGTCGAGAATAAAATATTTATTTATTTATTTATTTAATAGAGAAGGGATTGCATACTACGGCCGTAGCGAGAAAACGGTTGTAGAGCGAGCGCCGAAAGTGGGCAGTACTATCAGTATAATGTGAGCAGCGGCGCCGAAAACTGCTGGGAGTTCCACTCAAAAGTGGACATCCAGGGTGGAACGTTAAGTCAAGTCTGCAGCTGGTTAGTGAGTTGCTGGCAGCATGAGTAATTAAAACGCAAGTGGGCTCGGCATAGACTAACGGATATACAGTATTGAAGACATGTGAGAAAACGGACAGCAATACTTGCAACGGCTGTAGGAGGTAAACGGTTGTAGTGCCAGCACTTTGAGTGACCAGATGTAAGGGAGTAATACGGACAGCACCAGCAGGTTCTAAGTGTTTCACACGAGGACTAGGATGTTGCGCTAGCGCTACGGGTACCGGGACTACTATTGAGGATTTGTGATACTGACCAGAAGCGGTGCCGAACGCAATATTCATTAGAGTAGGTTTAAGCATAGGTGTGGATGAGACTTGAAAAGTTCAATTGGCCAGAACTTGGTGCTGGTGGAATAAGAGAGACATCGGTCAAATAGACGGGTATATGGACACTGCATAGGTAGGTTTAGTCAAGAAGTGGTAGCAGAACGGAGCCATATATGGTATAGAATAGGTAAGCTTGCGAATGAGAGACGGCCGTTACTGTGAGCCAAACAATTTGGTGGGGGAGCCGAAAGGCAAAACTCAATCAGAGACCGGAAACTTCAAGTTTGGTAGGGAGGACTAAGTATCCAGATAATGAATTAGACAGGCAAGTATTAGGTGGCTGTTACATTCACCATTGAGCACCGTGGTCAGTGGCAGCCGATGTGCCAAGAAGAGGCATTGGTTAAAGACCTGCGGGCATTTGGAGCCACAGAGGCTGGACTGGTCCAAAAGATTTAGGAACGAGAGACAGTGGCGAAGGGAACCTGGCGAGGACTGGGAGGTTGCGCTGGCGCTAGGCGTACGGAGACCACTATTGAAAATTTGCGATATTGACCAAGAGGTGCCGAACACAATATACATTACACAGTATTGTGACCCCGCAGCCTTGTCAGACTGAATAAACTCGTGCGATAAAGCGCCTAAAATCATAAACACACTTTCACTTACCCTCTTCGACAGCGAAGCCTCTGACACACAGCTATAAGGAAGACCCTAGCGCCCCTATTGTCTCGCATTCGCAAACGAGCGTTAGCTCACTTCCCCTAACCAACCATGACGACCCCCTACACCGCGCAACGCAGCGCATCGGCCATGTGGTTTCGGACGTTCACTTCCCACTTCCCCGTTTCCACTGATTATACGCACAGCCCTAAATGGACGCGCCACTTTTTCTGGTTATCCATCACCTGCCCTGCCTCTGCCGTCTTCGTCGTCCAACGCTGGGAGACAGTTACTCCGCATGACACAGTGCCCTCTCCACCAACGTCCTGACGCCCAAAGTACTCCCTTCCACGACAAGAATTCTAACAAACGGCTGCAAGAGCAAACCTAACTCCACTAATCGCCATCACTGCCTAATTAGCCTTCGCTCTCCAATTCCGGTCTGCAAGGATGACTTACATACAAAGCGCGACACAGCACAGTATCCAAGTAGCGTCTGATGTGCACCTTATAATTACTTACTTCCTCCGCTTTTAATCCTTGCGGCAAATGCCCGCTCATCTTGCTACTTGATTGCTGTTCCTTAACTTAACACACCTACCTCCACTGCTGCTGACCGTGCCATAAGTTTGCGCTCGGCTCGCTACTGAGTTTTGGTCAGTTAAATTTACTTTGTTACCCACAAACCGCAACCTTGTAAGATTTAATAACCTTGCGCGACGAAGTACCCTATCGGTCCCTGTACTGACTTTCACTTACCCACTTCTACAACAAAGCCTCGGACACACTACTTCTGTAGGGCGCCTGGCTCTAGTACCAGCTGCTCAATCCTTAAAACATGTTCGCTATATCGCTTGGGCCCACTTGGACTTCTTGCCTGCATCGCGCGACGCGGCGTACTAGACCTGTAGCTTCTGGTGATTCACTTTTCACTTACCTGAGTCCTCCGGTCCTGCTCATAGCCGACTTTTTGATGGCTTTCTGTCACTTAGCTTGTCTTTGCTGACTTCAAATACCAATATTGTGATACTTTACAACACCGCGCTGCGCAGCGTCTTTGCTCCGCATATATTTAGTGTTATCTGTAGCGGTCATGATAACCTCGTTGTACTGCTCATTACACTTTCGCAACACAAAAAGGATGGCTTAACAGTTGTTCTTTGCTTATGGTACATCAACTTCCTCAGGCTGTAAGATATATCACAGAGATTTTATGAGCCCTTTCACGTCTGCACTTGGTGGTCTCCCCGGGTTTGTCCTTTTCTGCATCACGCTGAGCTCCAAATAAACCCAGCTAGAACACTCCGGGAATTTTAGGCCAAACTGATAAAAAGGCGGTTAATGAAAATTCCAAGTCTGCGGCGCCCGTTTCACCCGTACGTTATACACATGAGCGCAAGGATGATCATAGCGTCACCGACGAGCAACTCAAAACAACACAACTCATCGCATGTGCACTACCTCAACATTCACGAAAGCCAAAGGACCCAAATCGGAAGCGATATGTACGCCAACGATGCGTTTCCACAAAAGAGCCCGCCGACTGTGTCAAATGGGTCCGAGGGCAGGGGCGGGGAATATTCTACTGCGCGAAATCCGTACCGTGCGCAGTACGGTTGGCGATGGCGAGCATTTAAAATGTCAAATTAGTCTAACAGCTATTTCATGGAAACAGGGGAATCCATGGGCCCAGTGATGCCGTAACTTGCAAACCTTAACCCGCAAGATCCCCACGTAGGCTAATACGCACGCTATTAATGGGCAGCTTAAATCTTCAAGCTCCAGACGAGCCTCCAAATTAAACTGAGGCTACATGGAAAGCTACTAGCAATAAATGGGTGGTCTCCAACGAGAAATGAAGTGACACCGGCTCTAAATGCTGCGTGTAAAACAGTTTCGCAGCGTGTTTTCTGGTGGCTCCATACAAATTCTAACTAGAGGTCAATACGGAGCTTTTCCTAACACGTAAGTAACGTGGTTGCTGGTAAAAGGTAAGCTAATAGACGCAAAATATCATTCCTGCTATATGAACTATGTTACGTTGACCCACATATGTTTGTGGATTTAAAACGTTTCTAAATGTCGAACTGCTAAGTGATATACAGGTACATAGTGTTGGCCATGGATAGAGCTACCTTGATTCGTGAATTCACGTGCAACCGCAATGTAACTAACTAAATAAATAAATATTTATATTAGAAATAAATAAAGGTATAGTTCGAGGCTTCACTAGAGGCTGCGCCCCCGAGAGGTCAGGTGTACATTAACCACATGCACTTGCATGGGTAATGATACAGTTAAGTTTAGGTACTCCTTGGGCGCGAGTTCTGCACCAAGCTTGTAGGAACAGTCCCTCAACGATAAGTATTCCAGCTCCATTAGCCGTGTTAAGTAAATTACTGTCCAGATAAATGGTAGGCTCATGGACAGAGAGAAAAGCGTTGGCATCCGAACTGTCAGAAAATGGATTGGTAATGCTTACCAGTGAAATAAATGAAAAAATTTAAAATAAATATCGAAAAGCGGATGACCATTTGGCGTAGTTAGCTGGAACTCATAAACGCAGCATATAACAAAGAAAGCTGATTAGCGGATGACCGCAAGCGCCTTAATCGCAGCCAAAATTAAAATCCAGTTTTGGGTCGTACATATTTCTACAACTAAACAATGAACGTCGTAATCAAACTATCACTTGAGCGCTGTACACGACAAAAGTAAAATTATAGCAATGCTTACAGTATCTTCCGAGTGCTTGAGCGTCTGTAACTAGCGTAGCCAAAAAGCTTGCTACTAATGCCTATAACTTTGCAAACGTATAAGGTGAAAATAAGTGGTTATAAAAAGTGGCACATTCTAATAAGATCTCAGTAGGTTAGCGCATCTACAGATATGCAGTATATTTCCAACGCAGCAGTACTTGCGATGTACGTCGCAGTTGCTGCAAAACAGACTTTGCAAGCGTATGTAATAAAACCTGGACGAATATGAGAAGAATGTACGGTGAAACCCTAGTAAGGCAATTTAGAATGTTTCGTCTGAGCGAAATTACCAGACTCTTTGCAGTTAAGCCATTGTCCAAAGACAGCCGTGTCCTTTTCAGAGGCTAGTTGGTCGAAGAAACCACTGTAAATAAATAAACATATAAAGATATAAAGAAATGGTGTATTCCCGAATTGGTCGCGACATCAAACCAGGCATGCTCAACATTTACATGCAATTATGATTCGTAACAAACATATTGCTATGTATGTAATCGGCAGTAAACCGAAAGTTGTACAGGCTGCGGAAATTGTGTTAGTAATCATAATGAATAAAGTCGTCAATGCATGATGATACGTTGGGTTCTAGCGTGCGTAGTGTAAACAGTCAAGGCACTATATGTGTAGTGAAAACGATACATGTAAGCAGAGCGCATCTTGTTCCTGAAAGTGTCAGGAAAATATCAAATTATGATCCTAGTCGGCTTGCCAGCATGTAGTTATGGGCAGTGATGTCATGCGGTGGCGAGTCACATCCGCCACGTTGCTGTGTTGTTAAACGGACATTGGTGGCTTCTTATAGAGAGAACGCTTACCTGGCGAAACCCATCACGCCCTGGAACACTGTCAGAAATACATTCGTACACCAATGTACAACTGGCAGAGCAGCTTGCCGACTGATTTCACACTCAGTTATCCGCAGTCAACTGACTTCCAATTTCCTCTGTTAGTTTATCAGATATTCAGGTCAGGGCGGCCCTAATGGCCGTGGCAAATCGATGATGGGAGATGCAAGAAGTGCCGTCATTGTGAGTATCCAGGTGCACAAAACGTCAGCTTCTTGCGTCTGGATTTTCCAATTTTATGTTTATTTTTCACGAGTGTGACGGCATCGTGTGCATCTATCATTACTGGACTACGGTCGTGGTAGTGAGTGCAGGTATATCCATTTGTTGTACAGCCATGTTCTTTGTAGTTCCTTGTGGGTTATGTCCTGTCCCAGACAAAATCGAGTTCTCGGTCTAATGCCCGCTCCCTAAGAAGTTCCGGACCTGGGAGAAAAGGGGAGATGAGAGACAACCAAGGCCGTAAAGAACAGGTGTGGCAACAAACATTGTTAATGTCCTATGTTGTAACATTTAGAGTGGAGACATAATGATGTACAATGTGCAACAATGATTGTGCTGAAAGTGTCTTCTGAACGTTAAACGAAAGCATTGGCCGTATAGGTAGACTGCTACCATCTACCTGCAATACAGAGCGTTGCGCCAATAAGCAAACCAAGCAGTATCGATATGCTATGATGAGTTATTGCGTAGGAAGACAGAAAGCAGAATTCAAAGCCTAGCGGCGATTGAATGGTGGAGGAACAGCTGGTAGCTTGCCTACTTCGACAGGGAGCGCAGAGTAAGTAATTAAAGATATAAATAGCTTGTGGCGAAAGCGATTCAAAAGTCAATTGGTGGTAAAGCAGCGGATAGATAGGGCTCAAGCGCGGAGTAAACATGTTCAGGGGACCAAGGCAGAAAGAAGACACGAGGGTACTCAGAGAATCGTGCTAGGGCGGACTGAGATGGGAAAAGCCTGTGAGAGAGCTAGCCTTCTGCATAAGTACGGCTCCAAACGTCTGCTGCAAAAAAGGAACAAAACACTTACAAAGGATTGGTTAAGAAGCTGATGTACTGACTAGGTGAGAAAGAATTGATCGATAGAAGTGAAGTGATAACGATCAGTTAAAGGAAAGCGTAGTTGCGGAAATTATGTACACGCAGCGTCGCGCAGAGAAACGAGTTATGCTATGGCGTTAAGGAAATGGTACTAGGGTACGCTGATCCAGGAAAAGCCCGTGAGTCTGTTGGATTCATATATGAGCAAGTGTCGCAAACATAACAGCCAGGAGGTGATAACTGAACACGTAGAAATGCTAAGCTAACGGACGTCTGTGTGCTGAACAAACGAGAGGAGTGATACAATAAAGAGCTAAGCATGGTTAATTGACGGAAAGACAGCAATTAGCCGGAATTCATACATGCCTCAAGGTTGTTGAGGGTATCAGAACATGATGTCTAACCGCAGCATCGCGCAGCAAAGCAAGTCCCGCTAGGGTGCTAAGCTAATAGTAACCATGGGAAACAAATTGGCGAAATGTGACTGTGATTATCCTCGAGGCTAATCGTTCTGGTACAAACTTTTCAATAGCACATCACCAGTCGGCAGTGTTCCAGGGCGTGATGGGTCTTCTTCTGGCAAGCGCTTGCCCTACAAAAGCCACAAAGGTCTGTCAACAAGTCTGCAACGTTACGGATGTGGCTCGCCGCTCAATAAAGTCACCGCCGCTAACACACATTGGCAAGATGACCGACACCACGTTTGCAAAGTCTGTGCATATATCTCCTCTCGCACAAGCACGCCTACATATTTTTCAGTTACATGCCACTATTCTTAAATGTTTTTGCAGTCCTTTCATTATACTTCACTCACCTGACCCGCACTGCGTACACCACATCATCGGACTAGTTCCGCATCAACGTACTCCACATTAGTGATCTGAATCTTATCTCTACATCGCGCCTTCTAGGAACATAGGCTTCGCACAAACTTTGGGTCATGGGGCCCACACTACTGACTCCAACTTTACTACGCCCGCTCTTGGTGCTGCTACTCATGCTTTCATGTGCAATAATGCAATATGCTGTCCTTGTCCAAAAGGCGTTCCTCGCTTCGTCGAGAATAAAACATTTATCTCTTTATTAGTTTAAGCTGGATAGAGCCAGGGAATGCTAGCCCGAAAGCTGGAGGATTGCAGGTAAAGTGTCTAAGAAGTTAGAGCGAGTAAGGGATAAATGAACATATAGAAGTGTGAGGCAAGACTTCGGCTTGCGTGAATACATGGATATGCTTGCACGACAGAAGAAAGCTGAGAGAGGTTTCATGATGGAAGGAGAGCGAACGGGAGAAACGCAAGCATACAATGAGGTTGGTACATAGTTCAGGTCATAAGAGGCTAAGAAACAACGACGCGCAGATTAGCAAATCATGCTGGGGTGCTAATGGAATATAACTAGAGCAGCCCTGGCTGGGAGAAGCCAGTGAGAGAGCTGAACTACAATTAATTAGGTGTCACAGCTGAGAAGGTGACAGCTGTGCATCCAGCAAGGAAGCCTGTGCCGGGAAAAGCCAGTGTGAGAGCTGGACTACAATATAAGTAGGTAGCATAGCCGTAGTGAATAATATATAAATGAACGTCTGGAAAGGAGCGACTCTGCGCGGACTATATGAGTTGTGTTTGCTGGACAGATGAGAGCTAAAATGGTTTCATGATGAAGGGACAGCGAACGGGAGAAGCGCAGGCATGCAATATAGTTGCTAACTAGTTCAGAGCATGAAGGCTAAGACGCAGCGACGCGAAGATAATCAACTTATGCCAGGGTGCTAATGAAATATTACAAATGTAGCTGGAGCTGGGAAAAGCCGGTAAGAGAGCTGAACTACAATTAATTAGGTGTTGCAGACAACTAAGTGACAGCTAAATATCTATCAAGGAGCGGCTGTGGGCTAACCTGATGAGATAAGGAAGGTCGCCTGAAGGGGCTAAACAAAGTTGAATAAAGAAAGGAAAGCAGACAGGAGGAATGCAACATACAGTGTTGACTGAGGGAGTCACATCACCAGAAGAGAGCAAAAAGTAGATCGGATGAAGTATGGACATAAAACAGGAAAGATGCATACTAAGATAGACTGAGCCGGTAAAAGCAGCTGAAAGATGTGGACTACAATATAAGTAGGTGTCTTAGATTTTGCAGCGGGTAATGGTTAAATGAACGTTAAACAAAAAACACCACAATAAAACCCTACCAAAACCGATTGATATTCGAACCTTCTGAAATCCTGTATTCTCAGTCGGTTCCAAGCATATTCCGAGATTTTAAAAAGACCGAAATTATTTAAGTAGGTGGTTGTGAAATCAGTCCCGAGACTACATGGGTCTGATCTACATAGATAATTCAGAACAGCTCAGTGTCCATTTGACTCGTATGAGCCAGTAAACCCCAGCAAGTTCTAAGACAAATCCCGTATGTTTTAGCAATTTTAGCGCAGTTTATGTATCCCTATACATGGACCCTAACTACCAATAAACTACAAACGTATATCGTCAAAGATAATGAATGAGCGTGCAAACAATGGCAAAATGCTTCAAAACGTATAATTCGCTAGAGCCTGCATGGGTAGGGCCACAAGCATTTTGTTTTCTATGGTTAGGTTTTTCCAGACGTGAAACGTTCCTGTGCCCCATGTGTTGGGACACTCTATTGCTCAACTGTTTGCGCTTTACGAGCAATCGATTTCCAATTTTAGAGGTTCAGTACGGGTGACATAAGCGCAAAACCAGGCTTTGATGGCACACAAGCTATCACGTGGGAGTACGTTCTGTGAGAGATATGCTAGTTCGCCAGACTGCATAACTAATTAATATTATAAGTCAGGAACAGCAAAGTACGCAGGAAATGGTAGCTGCTTTTCCACCCACCTCTACGCATTACGCATTGGGCACATGGGAGCCAGTTAAAGATAAAGTTTGAACTGTGGACCCAGCTAGGGCAGTATGTGGTTCGAAATTGCTGGAGTTCTAGCTAGCCGGTGTGACAAGGCTCTCTGGCACATGGCTTGCTTTCGTGCCAGTGTCAAAGAACATGAAATATTAAATGTTAGGTGGCATGAATGGCGATCAAACATGGATCTGGTTCATCCTGCCGCCAGTCTACCTGTGTTTCCATTAGTTATTGGCGAATGAACAACTCAGCTAGGAGCTAAGACATATGGGGCCGAGAAGACAAATGGGAGTGCAAAATGTCTAGTTCGGGAGACCGTGCCTCATCTCAGAAACTTCGTACCAAGCTAGTTTTTGGCCGTTCTTGGTGGTGACATAGTATGGAACTACACATGCTCCTAATAACGGCGCACTCGCGATGCTAAGAGCCACTACGCGGAAAAGAACCGTTAGGGTTCTCCTATACTGATAACCAACGTTTATGTAGGTAAAGTGGTGGGCTTAAAAGAGTAGAGTTGCGCTGAATAACACTGGTGGGTTCGGTTGGACTATGATAGGAGCAGTTAAGAGATGGACTCCACGGCCCGTCAACACATTTGTGCCCCTACACTTGTCTCGGTTGCGGAAAGTGTCGCAGAATAAGAGCTTAGCAAGCCTGGTATACGTAAGCGGAGCGGCAGGACAAACTATTTGAGGGGTGATAATAGTTACTCTAATAGAGTTAACGAGATGGCGGCGAAGTAATTGTTTAGATGTTTACTCCGACAACCCAGTGGTTCGCCATTGCGCTCAGGAAATTTTATAGCAAAATCGAATACCAGATAAGAAAGTGTGGGGCATAAATATGTCATAAACAAATCCATGACATAGGAAAGACCATGGCCGACAACGATCTGTGGCTTTAGAGAAGAATAAAGGAACGAAAGGTGGAGACACATAAATGCGAGGTAACTGAAGGTGGCTTTTCAACTGAGAAAGGAGAGGATAAAGAAATACAGGTAGTGGCTCAAGCTGCTGTTCGCAGGAAATGTACGACCGTCCAGTTTAAAACCGACTGCCGC